GCCCACCTGGTTAGTCAATACTAGGGGATCTACCAACCGAGCTGGACCTGCCCAATCAAACCTGTTACGTACTGTAGATGGGGATAAAGTTCCTGTAGTGCATGTAAAAAATATGCTGGGTAAAACAGTCTGGGCTACTCCTGCCTCAGGAAAAGGCAAACCTATTCGTGGAATTGTTTTCGCTCAGGGACCTGGATACACTTGGTGGGTGATGCAAAAGAACGGAGAGGTCCGGTGTGTACCTCAAGGAGATTTAATACTGGGTGAGAATAGCCCATGAACTGAATTGTACCATGTTAAATAGTATATTATACTGTATGTTATCACTACCATGATTACTATAGGTGACTAATTAGAATGTATGGAAAAGAGTGTAACCTGAGCATGACATAAATGGTATGGAATAAGGGGTGGATAGATGTCCTGGTTTCAGTTAGCACAGAATTAATTTTCTTCCTAGTAGCTGGTGGAATGCTGTGTTTTGGCTTAGGATGAGAAGAGTGCTGATAACACCCCGATGCTTTAATTATTGCAGAGCAGTGCTTATACTAAGCCAAGGACATCTCAGCCTTTTGCTCTGTCCTGCCAACAGGCAGGCTGGGGGTGCAGTAAGAGCTGGGAGGGGACAGACCCAGGACAGGTGACCCAAACTAGCCAAAGGGGTATTCCATACCATCTGACGTCATGCTAAACAATATATAGGGGTGGCTAGCTGGGGGGAGGGGGCCGGACTGCTCGGGGTTAGGCTGGGCATCGGTCAGCGGGTGGTGAGCAATTGCATTGTGCATCACTTGTTTGTACATACTATTACTTTCGTATTATCACCATTGTATCATTATTATTATTATTGTTATTTTTTTTTTTGTTATTATTATTTTCCTGTCTTATTAAACTGTCTTTATCTCAACTCACGGGCTTCACTCTCCATTTCTCTCCCCCGTCCCAGAGAGGGAGGGGGGAGGGTGAGCGAACGGCTGCGTGGTGTTTAGCTGCCGGCCGGGTTAAACCACGACACTTACACAATAAAAGATTTAACCTTGGTTGAGTATCATCAGGTGAGGGGCTGCTTGAGCAAACAGGACATACTTAAGTCCATGATGAGCTCTGATGGGACCCACAAGTGCTGAGGGTAGCCGGCAGTTTGGGGTGCAGAGCCACATTCCTAGAGAGACATGTCAGGGTTATTAGGGAGGCACCCAAGGGCCCACACCATGGACAGTGGCATATGCTAGCAACTAAGCTGAGGAGTATCAGGGTGTCTGAGGAGGAGATTGACTGGTGGAATTGTACTCTACCATCCTTGGAACAAAGGCATTGGCCAGTCGTAACATATGATTCTATAGATTCCCTACCTTCTCACTACTGGACATGAGGGGTTAATCTAGGAATAAGGGGGAATGGAAGAATTTTTCTGGTCAGGGCAGCAAGCAAATCCTCTCCTTCCCTACCTCGCCTTCCCAGGTGCCCTTATACAATAGGTATGAAGACTGGGAATTTGAAGGTCACAGATTATCAAGGGATGTCTCTAGACCAGCTAACCTGATCCTTAGGGGTGACTTCAACTTCACAGACATTAACTGGGAATACCAACTGTCAATACAAACAGTATTCCTAATGAATTCCTAACAGAAATTCCTAATGCACACTGAAGCTAACTTCTTGGTACAGGTACGAAGGGGAAAGTTGCCTCCAGGATTTGTTGTTTGTAAACAGATAAGGTAAAGTGGCAATTGGTGGCTGTCTTGGCCAAAGTGACCATGAAGTAGTTGAGTTTAAAATCTTTGGTGACCAGAGAAAAATTCCACTCAAAATGTCATCCTTGGATATAAGGAGAACAGATGTCAGGCTATTAACCACTTCATAAGGTCCCTTGGGAATCTGTTTCTGAACGTGATGGGGTCCAGCAGTGCTGGTCACTTTTTAAGAGCCATCTCTTAAGAGCACAGGAGCAGGTGATTCCAAAGTGTTAGATGTTAAACAAGAAGGGCAGAATGCTGGCTTGGCTGAGCAGGAATCTTCTTCTATAGCTTAGGCGGAAAAGGAAAGTTTATGGACAATGGAGGCAAGTACAAGTGACAAGGGAGGACTACAGAAATGCTGTGTGCCTGGAAGGAGAAAAGATGTGTGGCCAAAACTCAGAGTTGAAGCTGGCCAGTACTGTGGGAGGCAACAAAAAGGGCTTTTTAAAGTATGTCAACACCAAAAAAGGGACTACAAGTAACATTGGTCTATTATTCACCTCACAAATAGGGTCACAGACAAAGCAGACATTTAATGTCTTCTTTGCCTCTGTTTTCAACACCGAACACGGGCCTTGGGACACCTGGAGCCCTGTGTTGAAATCCATTACTCATAGAATCATAGAATCATAGAATATCCTGAGTTGGAAGGGACCCTTAAGGATCATCAAGTCCAACTCTTGACACCGCACAGGTCTACCCAAAAGTTCAGACCATGTGACTAAGTGCACAGTCCAATCTCTTCTTAAATTCAGACAGGCTCGGTGCAGTGACCACTTCCCTGGGGAGCCTGTTCTGGTGTGCAAAAGGTCCATGTTGTTAAACCCCTACATGTTCTGTTTTCAGGTGATTCATCATGACACACAAAATTATGGCTATAAAAACCTCAGAGACAAACCAAGGAAGTTTTATTACCAGATAAACAATCGCAAGAATCCCAAAACTTTGAGGGATGAGGGTCGTGTGTGTCTTTCCCCCCACCCTCGCCCCGCTCCCCTCCCATCTTCCCATTTTGTAAAACATCACAACAAAACCAAGCATCTTCAGGAACTTTGAAGAAAACTGGGAGATTTCCCAAACCTTTTCCCATCCATGTTAAACCAAAACTTGGATTCACTGGACCAAATCCTGACATTTTGCTCAGTTGTCCATCTGTTCCAGCTCATCCATGTCATCTGGGTCAAGCCTCTTGATCTGGGTCTCTGAAGAAAGAAAACAAATGTCAGTGCCTGCCAAGTACAGCCAGGCACCAGCCTGTGCAGGAGTTAGCAAAGGCATAGCACTGCTGCTCGGGGGCTGCTAGTAGTGGCAAACCCTGGCAGCCATGCCCAGGACTCTCGGCTCTGCCTTCCACAGATGACATAAAACAAGCTGTGAGCTGTTCAGCACGTGACGGAGGTGAGAGGTTAGAAACCTGCCCAGCTGTTTGCATCAAACCCAGTTGAGTAGAGGTATAGGTAGAAGTGACAGATTCCAGTTATCTCAGGACCAACTGGCCACCTCTGGGATACTGCTTCCTGGCTCAGTGCACGTGCTAACCTCGCTCTGGGCTGAAAAGCTACCTAAAGTGCTCAGCATGGCATTTCCACACTGCGGAGTTCAAAAGATAATCAAACTTTGAGAGAGCACAACAGACACAAACCTGACCGACAAATGGTAAGAGACGTACATAGTGATGGGAACCCAAACTGGTCAGTCACACTGACTGATGGAGCTCAGAATGTTTATTCCACAGAGGTTATCCGATCAAGGACCTTGGCAACTGGGCAACGTGGGAAAAGGGGGAAACAAGCAACAAAACACCTGATACAGACCTGACAAACCCAATGAGACAATGACGAGAAACTAACCTCACCACTCACACTAATCGGTGGGCTATTGAGAAATTACAGGTGCCACTTCCCAGAAGAACCACCTGCAATTTACAGCTGGTAAGGCTGTGAGCCAGAGGGACCTGGACGGGAAGGGGTGTGGGAACTGGGAGGGCTGTACAAACCCAGGATGGGACGTGCAGGAGGAAAGGGAGGTGGGAGGTGCAAAGAGGGGGTAAGCAGGAAAGGGCACAGAAGCGGCCACTTGCATGTGAAATGGGACTAGTCGGTGTGCTTCTTTGGTTTAGCCCCAACACTGATCGCCACGGTCTGTCTTGTAGTCTTATGCCTACTTAAATCTTTTCCCACTTCTGTCTTTCTGTGATCTCACACTCAATCCCTGGTATGTGTGTGTGTGTGTGTACGTGCGTGCATACAGCAGTACCTTCTCACCAGCTACTGCTGAGACCTGTGCGTGAATGAAAACTGGTGCCAACTCCTGCAGTCAGACAGGGACAAGGCTGCCCCTGGCCTCGGCTGCCACCTACTGGAGCCACTGCAGGGGTCTCACTGCAGATACTGCAGCAAGCACGATTCTTCAGCTCCCAGCCACTGGGCTGGGGATGCTGTGCATCCAAAAAAACATCTGTTGGGGGGGCACTGGCGTGACTGTGACTGTGTGTGTGTGTACATGATGAATTCGAAGTGACAGCTGCTGGAGGCAGAGGTGAGCATCTGTACCTTCTACAGACTGTGTGGGTATGGAGGGTGTGTGTGTGTGTGTATTCACCTGAAAACTTCAGCCTGGGTCACCTAGTGACTGCGGGGGCCCTCAGGCCCAGGCCAGGGTATCAGGTGCATGGGTGGAGTCCGTGCGAGTATCAGGCTGGACCAGCCAGCAAGTAGGGGACTTGTCAGAGGGCAAGGGTCTGGTCAGGGACACTAGGAGAATAGAGGGGCTGGGATGGTGCTTGCTGACCCACAAACACCTGTGTGTGTTTGGACCTGGAAGTGCATGTGTGTGCTTGCACTAGTGACTCTCTGCCAGCCAACGAGGAGAAGGGGATTTGTGTGTGCTTGTGTGTCTATGTCTGTATATTTGTGTGTGTCTGTGCGTGTTGGTCTCAGGGACATGTGTTCTGTGACACTGTTGATTGAGCCTGGGTTAAAGGGTAAAGTGGCAGACGCATCCCTCAGCTTGTGCAGAGACCCCAGGTGCCCAGGCACCAGGCCGGGCTTCAGCAGCTCACAAGGACCGTACTGGTCTGTACTGGCCTTGCTGTGCTTCAGCAACCAGGCATGGAGGTCCTGGGCCAGAGCAGCTGCAAGAGGTGGCCACACTCCTGACATCCCTTAATGCTTCCCAATGCACTTCTCATCCACATGTACCTCAGCTCTTTGCAGCATCAGAGCTGGGCACAAGGATATTCACGGAAATGCTCCTCTATACTGTGCACGAGGTACGTGGTCTGCCTTTCCACCATGTTGAAGGCAATGCCCTTCTTCCCAAAGCAGCCCGTTTGCCCAATGCAGTGCAGGTAGGTCTCAAAATCCAGCTGCTTCTCCTGATTAACAGGGAGGCTGAAGTTCACCACTATGGTGACTTGTGCCACATCAATCCCTGAAAGACAGAGAGGTTTCTCACAACCAGGATCCGAAGGCAATCACCCGCGTCCAGATCGGAGCTAGTCCACTTGCAGTATAAAGCGGTCAGCCCTGGCTCTGCAGCACACACTACAATGACATGTCAAGGCAACAAAAGACCTACATGTAGAGGCCACGGAGCACAGGTTGTGTCACCAGAAACGAAGCAGCATCGTGTGTCCCCTGCGAGTTGATGGGCCATGGGGCAAATCAAGGGGATTCCCACACTGCAGACGCTGCGAGGGTATTGCTTTTCAGGATACGGTACCTCTAGCACAGACGTTTGTGGTGATGAGAACCTTCTCCTTCCCATCGCGGAATCTGAATCACATCAGCCCTCTGCACTATGGTCAGCTCTGCGGTCAGCATGGCGACCTGGTGCCCATCCTTGCTCATTTTCACCGATAGCCAGTCCGCACTCCCGCGAGTCTAGATGCGTGGGAGAGGCAGGAGGAGCTTTTGCAGCAGCTCTGGTGATACTGGTCTCCACCAGGCATGGTGCGCTCTCCAGGAAGTCGGTACACACCCAGACCGACTACCCGTTAAAAAATGCAGCAGTTCAGGTCACTGGGTGCGGGGAGTGTCTGAGCCTGTTGCTGCCATCGGCGGGAGGCAGAGAAACTGCGTGCGTGAGGTGCGAACAGGTGGATGACCTGGTCCACATGGTGGCGGTGCTCAAGGAGGAGGTGGAGAGGTTGAGGGATATCAGGGAGTGTGAGCGGGAGATAGACTGGTGGAGTAACTCCCTGCAGGGCCTCAAGGAGAGGTACCGAGGTGAGACACCCCAAATGGGGGTGGACCCCCTGCCCTGTAGCCGTCGGGCAGAGGGAGGGGATCTGGGAGTTGAGGAGGAATGGAAACAGGTCCCTGCTCGACATGGCAGACGATGCCCTCCCCTTCCGGCCCCACCTTCCCAGGTGCCCTTACGCAACAGGTTTGAGGCCCTGGAGCTCGACAGACCGGTAGCTGAAGAAGAGGTAGGAAGTGTTCCCAGGAGGATGCCTAGAGCGAGGAGGTCGACTCCACGCCTCAGGACTGCCTCCATCAAGAAAGACAGGAGGGTTATTGTTGTTGGAGACTCTCTTCTTAGGGGAACAGAGGGCCCTATTTGTCGGCCTGACTCTACGCGTAGGGAACTCTGCTGTCTCCCTTGGACCAGGGTCAGGGACGTTGCCAGGAAGCTTCCCAACCTGGTACGCCCCTTTGATTATTATCCTCTTTTGATAGTCCAGGCGGGCAGTGACAACATTGAAGAGAGAAGCCTGAAGGCTATCAAAAGAGACTTTAGGGGGCTGGGACAGTTAGTGGACGGAGCAGGAGTGCAGGTAGTATTTTCGTCCATCCCTACGTTGACAGGGAGGGGTACGGAGAGGACAAGGAAAGCCCACCTGTTAAACACGTGGCTCCGGGGCTGGTGCCAACGCAGAAATCTTGGGTTTTTTGACCATGGGGCACTTCACTCAGCACCTGGCTTGATGGCCGCAGACGGGTCCCTATCTTTTAGGGGAAAAAGGATCCTTGGCCAGGAGCTGGCGGGGCTCATTGATAGGGCTTTAAACTAGGTAAGAAGGGGGATGGGGCTGAAGCAAGGATTGTTGGGGCTGTGCCAGGGGGAACAATGCAAAGGCTGGAGGATAAGGTAATGGCCCAGCTTAAGTGCATCTACACCAATGCACGCAGCATGGGTAACAAACAGGAGGAAGCCATCGTGCTGCAGGCAGGCTACAACTTGGTTGCCATCATGGAGACGTGGTGGGACCAGTCTCATGACTGGAGTGCTGCAATGCCTGGCTATAAGCTCTTCAGAAGGGACAGGCAGCACAGAAGGGGTGGTGGTGTGGCTCTCTATATTAGAGAGTCTTTCGAGGTTGTAGAACTCGAGGCTGGGAACGACAAGGTCGAGTCCCTTTGGGTTAGGATCAGCAGGGACAACAAGGCTAGTGTCCTGGTCGGGGTCTGCTATAGACCGTCGAACCAGGATGAGGAGACGGATGAGGAGTTCTACAGGCAACTGACAGAAGTTGCGAAATCTTCAGCACTTGTTCTCGTGGGGGACTTCAACTTCCCTGACATATCCTGGAAGCACAACACAGCCCAGAGAAAGCAGTCTAGGAGGTTTCTGGAGAGTGTGGAAGATAGCTTCCTGACGCAGCTGGTTAGTGAACCTACCAGGGGTGGTGCCCCGCTAGACCTTCTCTTCACAAACAGAGAAGGACTGGTGGAGGATGTGATTGTCGGGAGCTGTCTTGGGCAGAGTGACCACGAAATGGTGGAGTTCACTATTCTTGGCGAGACCAGGAAGGGGACCAGTAAAACCACTGTATTGGACTTTCGGAGGGCTGACTTTGAGCTGCTCAGGACACTAGTTGGTGGAGTCCCTTGCAAGGTGGTTCTGAAGGGCAGAGGGGTCCAGGAAGGCTGGGCGCTCTTTAAGAGGGAAATCTTAATGGTGTAGGAACGGTCTGTCCCCACGTGCCCAAAGATGAGCCAGCAGGGAAAAAGACCAGCCTGGCTCAACAGAGAACTGTGGCTTGAGCTTAGGAGAAAAAAGAGGGTTTATAATCTTTGGAAAAGTGGGCAGGCCACTAGGGAGGACTATAAGGATGTAGCGAGGCTGTGCAGGGACAAAATTAGGAAGGCCAAAGCTCATCTGGAGCTCAATCTGGCTACTGCCGTTAAAGATAACAAAAAACGCTTTTATAAATACATCAACACAAAAAGGAGGACTAAGGAGAATCTCCATCCTTTACTGGATGCGGGGGGAAACTTAGTTACAAGAGATGAGGAAAAGGCGGAGGTGCTGAATGCCTTCTTTGCCTCAGTCTTTAGCGGCAATACCGGTTGTTCTCTGGATACCCAGTACCCTGAGCTGGTGGAAGGGGATAGGGAGCAGGATGTGGCCCTCACTATCCGCGAAGAACTGGTTGGTGACCTGGTACGGCACTTGGATGTGCACAAGTCGATGGGGCCGGATGGGATCCACCCAAGGGTACTGAGAGAACTGGCAGAGGAGCTGGCCAAGCCACTATCCATCATTTATCAGCAGTCCTGGCTATCGGGGGAGGTCCCAGCTGACTAGGCGGCTAGCAAACGTGACGCCCATCTACAAGAAGGGCTGGAGGGCAGACCCGGGGAACTACAGGCCTGTCAGTTTGACCTCAGTACCAGGGAAGCTCATGGAGCAAATCCTCTTGAGAGTCATCATGCAGCACTTGCAGGGGAAGCAGGCGATCAGGCCCAGTCAGCATGGGTTTATGGAAGGCAGATCCTGCTTGACAGACCTGATCTCCTTCTATGACAAAGTGACACGCTGGGTGGAGGGAAAGGCTGTGGATGTGGTCTACCTTGACTTCAGCAAGGCATTTGACACCGTCTCCCACAGCATTCTCCTCAAGAAACTGGCTGCTCTTGACTTGGACTGGCGCACGCTTCATTGGGTTAGAAACTGGCTGGATAGCCGGGCCCAAAGAGTCGTGGTAAATGGAGTCAAGTCCAGTTGGAGCCCAGTCATTAGTGGCGTTCCCCAGGGCTCGGTGCTGGGGCTGGTTCCCTTTAATATCTTCATCGATGATCTGGACGAGGGCATTGAGTGCATCCTCAGTAAGTTTGCAGATGACATCAAGTTAGATGCGTGTGTCGATCTGCTTGAGGGTAGGAAGGCTCTGCAGGAGGATCTGTATAGGCTGCACTGATGGGCTGAGGTCAACGGCATGAAGTTCAACAAGGCCAAGTGCCGGGTCCTGCACCTGGGGCGCAATAACCCCAAGCAGAGCTACAGGCTGGGAGATGAGTGGTTGGAGAGCTGCCAGGCAGAGAAGGACCTGGGAGTGATGGTGGACAGTTGGCTGAATATGAGCCAGCAGTGTGCTCAGGTGGCCAAGAAGGCCAACGGCATCCTGGCTTGTATCAGAAACAGTGTGGCCAGCAGGGCTAGGGAGGTGATCGTCCCCCTGTACTCGGCTCTGGTGAGGCCGCACCTCGAGTACTGTGTTCAGTTTTGGGCCCCTCGCTACAAGAAGGACATCGAGGTGCTTGAGTGGGTCCAGAGAAGGGCGACGAAGCTGGTGAGGGGCCTGGAGAACAAGTCCTACGAGGAGCGGCTGAGGGAGCTGGGCTTGTTCAGCCTGGAGAAGAGGAGACACAGGGGTGACCTTATTGCTCTTTACAGACACCTTAAAGGAGGCTGTAGCGAGGTGGGGGTTGGTCTATTCTCCCACGTGCCTGGCGACAGGACGAGGGGGAATGGGCTTAAGTTGCGACAGGGGAGTTTTAGGCTGGATGTTAGGAAGAATTTCTTTACTGAAAGGGTTGCTAGACATTGGAACAGGCTGCCCAGGGAGGTGGTGGAGTCACCATCCCTGGAAGTCTTTAAAAGACGTTTAGATGTAGAGCTTAGGGATATGGTTTAGTGGGGACTGTTAGTGTTAGGTCAGGGGTTGGACTCGATGATCTTGAGGTCTCTTCCAATGTAGAAATTCTGTGATTCTGTGATCTAGAAACACCGCCTTTGACTATCTCATATTGTGTCAGGACACAAGCCAGCACTGGTATTCACCTCTGAATGAGAATGCTTTGGTACGAGAAGCCCTGATGGTCGATCATTACGTCAGCTTCATCCAGCACAAACAGGCTGATTCTCTTCATATTCACCACTCGCCGTTTGAAACACCAGTCCAGCATTGTCCCAGGAGTCCTGATGACAATCTGCTCCTCCAGCAAGGCGCCTGGCAGAACTGCAGGAGGAGAAATCGTATCACACCACCTCGGTGCAAGGAGCACTATGTTTCTCGGCCACACACACCTGGCTGCGAATGAGCAGGGTAGTATCCAGGGAGATAGGGACTCAAAATCTGCTACGTTCTGGCTGCTTGAGCATGGTTCCCACCCTGCTGTGTCAGCTTCGGACTGCCTAGCAATGCCTTTGAGGGGGTCATTGCAAAGCGGAGCTCAGGAGCTTAAAATTGCAGGTAGCCATCAAGCAGGGCTGACGCTTCCCTGACGCCTTGTCAGGTGGCAACCAGCAAAAGGGGTGCCCCACCTCTGAAAGGAGACAGCGGTCACGAGAATGACTCCTTAGAAGGCACGGGAATTCACACGCTGTTTCATGTGCCTTCAGAGCTCCGCACAGCTCCCGCTAGTTCACAGCTCTCACAGCATCCCGCTAGTTCCTTACAGGACTGTTACTCCGCCCGCAACTCTGCTCAGCGCGGCTGGACTCACCTCTGTTTCCCTGAACAGCGTACGTAACCCTGATGTCGGCACAAAACTGACCCATCTTCTCGATCACATGTCCGATCTGCAGGGCCAGCTCGTAGGTTGGAGCCAAGCAGAGGCACTATGAGAGATAAGACAGCTGTCAGACAAGAGCCACATCTTTTAAAAGCACGCAGTGCCCCTGGCATGGCATACCCTACGCTAATGAGAAGGCATTTCAAAGCTCAGCACGCTGAAATCTCACTGCTAAACTCTTCCAAATCTGCAGAGGGATCAGCAACGGCAGTTGCATTTGCAGCTTTGGAAGGTAACCTGGAAGGTACAGCTGAAGGCAGAAAGGACTCAAGGCAACTACTAGGAGAGGTCCCTTCTTTACAGTGAGCATGACAGAGCGCTAGAACCGGCTGCCCAGAGAGGCTGTGGAGTCTCCTTCTTTGGAGACATTCTAAACCCGCCTGGATGCCATCCTGCACAGTGTGCTCTAGGTGATCCTGATCAGCAGGGGAGTTGGACTAGATGAGCGTCAGAGGGCCCTTCCAACCTCGCCCGTTCTGGGATCCCGTGATTTTTGCTAGGGAAATTTGTTTCCTCAGGCACAGTGCCATTTGCTTCTGTGCCCAGCTTGCAACTGAGAGTTTAAATTACATAGGATGCTTGAGACTCAAGACTTTTAAGTGCAGCACCCAGCCTGCGTAGGTGATTCTGAACCCAGAGAGGTGCCTTGCCTTCCCAGGAGCTTTTACGGCACCAGAAACTAGCGCAAGTCACAGCAAACAGCTGGAGTCTCTGCACATGCTTCCCAAAGCTGGTTGGATGCTCCTCAAAACAGAACGTCAGGATACCTAGGGCCTGGCTAAATCCACTGCTACCAAGTAAAAGTAGCCTCCTTTAGCTGGCAGCTTCGTCTGCTCCCAAGCTTTCTATCCAACCTCCCTGCTGCTGGGACGCTACCTGGGTGTTTACCAGCCCACGACAGCGGCCACAGCGGGTAGACCACCGTTGAGACTGGGACAAAACCAGAGCTCTGTCCACGGACAGTGGCTTGAGGGTGCAGCCAAACCTCTGCCGCATGGCCTTTCCCCTTCCTACATTACCTGCGGGTACTTCTCTGCACCATTAACTCTGCTCAACATTGCCAACACAAAAGCTGCCGTTTTCCCTGTCCCTGACCGGCTCTGTGCAATCAGGTTTTGGGGCCTGCAAGGCAAAGGCTGTTTAGCCGAGCACAGAGGCTTGGCATCCCCGCACCAGCACCCCGACGCCATGGTGCCGCAGGGGAGCCAAGGCGGTGGTACCCGTCTGCTCACCCGGGCGGCCCTGGTACTCATGGATGGGCTAGCATCATTGGCAGAGCTGTCTCCTGGATCGTGGACGGCCTGTTGAAGCCCATGGCGTAGACCCCCTGCAAGAGCTCCTTCTTCCTGTCCAAAAGCACCAAAAGCGACCATTCCACAAGGAATGGCTAACAGCGCCCAGGGGCAGCTCCAAAGCCCGCCTGCCTCGGGGCTGCCGCCTACTCACAGGCGCAGCTCCTCAAAGCTTTTCACCGAGAAGAGAGGCGAGTTGGGGTCCTGCTGCAGGATCTCTACGTGATGGCTGGACTCCATGAGGGACGTGTGGATCAGCTTGTTCAACAGGGAGCTCTCCGCCACGTCCACTAGAGAAGGGGCGGGCTCGTGACGAGCCCCGGTGCCCCTCGGGTCTCCCGTCCCACACACACGGGGCTCTCCAGCCATCCGCCCCCACCGCCCCTGCCACCGCCGGCTCTTCACCGAACTCTTCTCCTGCGCAACCTACCTCAGGCCCGAGGAACCCGGCTGGACTTCACGGGAGCCTGGCACCCTGCCTCGGCCCACGCCTCCGCTGCCCTCGCCCGCTGCCAAGGCTCCGGGAGCTGCCGCTCCCCCAGCCCGGCCCCGGGGGTGCTGGCCCTGCAGCCTGCGCGCAGGCGCCGGGGGACAAGGCCCGGTGGGACCCACCTCTGCCCTCCTCCTCACTCTCCTCATCCTCGCTCGTGCAGGTGGGCTCTGCCACGGGACAAGACACACGATGCTCAGCACCTCCCCGCAGCCCCGCCTGGGCCAGCCCCGGCACACGGGGCCCCGAGGGTGGCCGGCCCTCACCCCGCTGCCGACACGGACACAGCTCCCGGCACTGGCCTGCACACCGCTGCCGGTGGCCAGGCGAACCGCACAGCCCGCACAGCCCACGGCGCCGACGGCAGAGGCAGCCCGGGCCAGGGGAGCGCGTGGGGGACGGGCTGCCCGGGGACTGGCTGCCCAACAGGAGGCTGCCCGGGCCCTGCGCCCGCTCCCACCGCCGGCGTCCCTGGGGAGCCGGTGCCAGTGCACGACAGCCCTCTGGGTGAAGAACCTCTTCCAGTTGACTGGTGGCTAGCAACTGGGTCACCCATCTCCAAGAAGGGCCAGAATAAGTTTAATATTGTCTTTTGTAATATTTGTTTGGAATTGGAAATTGTTACAACGAATGTCCGTGTTAGCTTCCTTGACAAAAGTGCATGGCAAGGTATTGAGGGGTACATATCATAAAGACTGGGAAGAAAAATATTTGTATTAAGTAAAAGAATTTACTAGATTTTCCAGAAAAGGGGGGGACTGATATTGTGTAAACTCAGGCTCTGCAGTCTATGCCTCTGAGAAAGCAGATTTAAGAAAGGAAAGAAAACTGCTGCACATCAGCACCAGTGAGACAGAGGAGTGATAAACAGCCCTGCAGACTCCGAGGTCAGTGCAGCAGGAGGGCAGGAGGTGCTCCAGGCTCACAGCAGCAGTTCCCCTGCAGCCTGTGGAGAGGTCCCTGGTGGAGCAGGCTGTCCCCCTGCAGCCCATGGTGTACCACAGCGGCGCAGAACTCCATGATGCAGCCAGGGAAGGAGCCCACAATGGATCTGACCTGAAGGAGGCTGTGGCCTGTGGAGAACCCCTGCTGGAGCAGACTCCAGGTCAGACCTGCAGCCCGTGGAGAGGAGCCTCTGCAGGAATAGGGGACCTGGGGGGAGCTGCCACCCATGGGGTCCCATCCTGGAGCAGTTTGCTGCTGATGGATGGATCCCATGGTACGGACCCATACTTGGAGCAGTTCTCGAAGTGCTGCTGCCTGTGGGAAGCCCACGCAGGATCCTTTTTGGAAAGGACTGCATCCCATGGGAGGTATCCCACTTTGGAGCAGGGGCAGAGAGTGACCGAGAAGGAGTGGCGGAGACAAAGTGCCATAAACTGACCACAACCCCTATTCCCTGTTTGTCTGCGCTGCATGGGGGGAGCAGGTGGAAGAGAGCGGATGGGGTGGAAGGTGGTTTTAATTTGTTTTCTCTGTTTCTCACTTCTCTAGCTTGTTAGTAACAGGCAATACATTTCTCTAATCTCTCTCCACTGAGTCCATATTGCCCGTGGCAATCTCCTTGGCCTTATCTCAAGCCGTGAGCCCTTTTCATCGTATTTTCTCCCCCTTTCCCTTTGAGGTATGGGAGTGAGAGAGCAGATGTGGTGGAGCTCAGCTGCCCACCTGAGTAAAACCACAACACTCTTGGAGGAGGAGGTTATCACCAATGCATTCCGGGAAGCTCTTAGATTGCTTATGCCCTGCTGTGCTGTCCCTCCAACAGATGTGCAGTGGTTGACGTCTCCCATAAAGACCAGGGCTTGTGAATGTGAGGTTGCTTCCAACTGCCTATAAAAGGCCTTATCTGCTTGGTCTTCCTGGTCGGGCGGCCCGTAGACAGCCTCCACTGTACTGCTACCTCTCTTGAATCCACCCTTAGTCCCATGCTTCACTTTGCCCCGATCTGCCCTAAACTGGGGGCATATGGCAGGTGGGAAGCGTGGGAGGGGGAATCTGCCCAACAGAGAAACACAGGCCTCTGGGCTCCCAGCTTTCCCCTCAGCCAGTCTGCTCACTGCAGTGGTGCTGCCAGAAAGGACCCAGGCATTCCAGTCACCAGCAGAGGAGAGGGGACACCGGCACACATATGGTAGCTTTGCTGAAGGTGTTTATTGCAGACGGAGGGGAAATGGGCCATATCATCCAGAGGATCTGGCAGCACGATCCAGGGATGACCGTCTCTTCATGTAACTGGGGGGGGACAGGATGGGGGTTCATCACAATCTGTGGGCCTGAAAGACAAAGCGCAAGACGCGATCGCCCAGCATCCGTGGGGACACGAGAGAGGCCTCGTCCCCACCAGGTCTCTCAAAAGATCAGAGGATGAAGCAGGGAATCGGAGCCCACCCCCAGCCCCCAATACACCCCCAGCAGGACTCGGCTCTCTTGGGGTCCGTACGGCACCCAGAGCCCCTTGCCCAGCGTGCAGCTACCCTGGGGTGCCCGTAGACCTCTGGACCCAGTCCTATGGGGATCCTGGGGGTCTGTATGGCATCAGAACCCCTGCCTACACTGCATGCTAAGCCTCTGGGTCCATCCAGCCCGCTGAGCATAAGGCCCAGGGACGGTTCTGTCCAGCCACAAAGTTCAACAAGGCCAAGTGCAAGGTCCTGCATCTGGGCTGGGGCAGTCCCAAGGACAAACACAGGCCAGGTGAAGAACAGATTGAGAACAGCCCTGAGGAGAAGGACCTCGGGGTGCTGGTTGACGAGAAGCTTGACATGAGCCAGCAATGTGCACCTGCAGCCCCAAAAGGCAACTGTACCCTGGTCTGCATCAAAAGCAGCGTAGCCAGCAGGGCAAGGAAGGTGATTCTCCCCCTCTGCTCTGCTCTGCTCTGGTGAGACCCCACCTGGAGCCCTGTGGTCGGCTCTGGGGCCCCCAGCACCAGAAGGACACGGACCTATTAGAACAAGTCTAGAGGAGGGCCACAATGATGATCAAAGGGCAGGAGTGAAGACAGGCTGAGGGAGCTGGGGTTGTCCAGCGTGGAGAAGAGGAGGCGCCAGGGACACCTCATTGTGGCCTCTCAGTAATTAAAGGGGGCCTGCAGAAAAGCTGGGGGGGGGGCTCTTTCTCTGCGAGTGTAGTGATAGGACAAGGAGTAATGGTTTTAAACTAAAAGAGGGTAGGTTTAGATTAGATACTCAGAAGAAATTCTTCACTTGGAGGGTGGTGAGGCTCTGGCGCAGGTTGCCCAGAGACGTGGTGGATGCCTCATCCCTGGAAGTGCTCCAGGCCAGCTTGGATGGGGCTTTGGGCAACCTGGTCTGCTGGGAGGTGTCCCTGCACATGGCAGGGGGCTTGAAACTAGATGACCTTTAGGGTCCCCTCCAACCCAAAACATTCTGTGATTCCATGATCCCGAGACAGATCATGGCTAATGCCCTCTATTGCCCCCAGCCATACACAAGTTCTGCCCAGCACAGAGGCCTCTGGGGTTTCCTGGAGTAAAGGATCCTTTGCGGGGCCAGCGACATACCAGTGCTGCTCACCTAGGCATAGAGATCTGCAGCCAGGCGTTTCTTGCGCACTGCTGCCACCACCTCAACAGGCACAGGCTGCAGAGCCCTCTTCCCTCGCAGAAACTTCAGCTGCAGCAGGAGAGAGATTGTGAGACCTCAGTGGACGCCGGGATGAATTCAACCCAGCAGGTGACAGCAGGGCACGGGGGAGGCAAATGGCCCCGCAGTTCTCAAGACTGGCTCCAGCCCAAGGCCACCCCGATACTCACTTCCAGATCAAAGCCTCCACTTGCCGCAAACTCAGAGTCTTTCAGGAACTAGGAAAGGAGAATGAGGGGGTCAGTCTGGATTGGTGCTTGATGTGGAAGGATGAAGGGGGCACAGGTGTCCCCAGTCACCCCTACTGTGTAGCTTCCCCTCGGTCTGCAAGGGAAAATCCCTTCTGCTCCCCACAGACCCGTTGCTCCCCAGCTTCATCTGGAATAGCTGTTGATGCAGGGACCTCGGGTGGGGATGGAGACAAGGATGTGGGGACCAAAAGACAGGGCACAGAGGGGATTCAAACAGAGGGAATTTGCAGACCCCAAGAGACTACTGGGCTGGGGGTGCTGAAGTTATGGGACTGTGTGGGACGCAAGTCAGGGGATAAGGAATTCAAATAGAGCGAATGTGGAGACTTCAAGTGATGTGATTGGTGTGGGCTGAAGGAAGAGGCTTGAGGTGGACCAAAACGAGGGGACTGGGAGGACTGCTGGGGGGGTATTTGGAAGTGGGGGTGAAAGGAAGGGGACACCACAGCAATGGATTAGCTGAAAGGCAGAGGACTGAGAGGAAAGAATGAAAGAAAGGCATTGGGAAAGATGAAAGGTACGGCACTGGGGAGCCTAGACAGGACATGGAGGAAATCCAGGGAAAGGGACACCTTGGTGGGGACCAAAGGCGTTGGGGCGGTGGGCTTAGGAGGGGTCCCCAGAGGTCTCTGGAGAGAGATCTCCAGACTCTTTGGGCATCCCACACACCTGACCAGGAGTGGAGGGATCACCTGGACACTTTATGGAGGTTTTGCCAAAGTCTAGGTGTCAGGGAGGGCGCAGTGCCCCCGGTCAGTGGGGTCTCCTCCCCAAGAGCCGCCCATAGCATGAAACCCATCCCCATAGCACTGGGGCTCACCAGAGCATCTGCTGGGAGGCATAGCATGGCGAGGAGCAGGGCCATGCTGAGCAGGGCGATCTTCATCTTCCTCCGTGGTCTACGCAGTCCCGGATGAGGCTGGAGAAAGTGAAGAGCAAGATTTATCTCTCGCAGGACTCCCCACTGACCCCGCCCCGAGAGCCCAGGGGCAAAGCCACGCTTGGCATGCACCAGCCCTGGCAGTGAGCTCACCACTGGCAGAGACTGACCCACACCTCCGCCACTCACCCAGCCACTTTCTGTGGCACCAGGCCAGCTTCCTGCACAGGGCAGCTCCACAGGGACGGCTCCAGGCATCAGGGGGTGGCGAGGGGGTGGTCAGACACCCTGCAGTGAGTTCCCCAGCAAGAAACCATCCTCCAACAGCCCCTAAAGCCACATCTCCCTGTCTCCCAGTGCCCCTCACCTTCCAGGCCAGGCTTACTCCCCAGGACTCCCCCAGAGATGATGCAGCCTCAAATTAAGGGACTCTAAGCAGAGTTGTTTCTGACCCCTCTGCAGTCCCTTGAGTGAACGGCACGCTGAGACTGACTCCTCTTCTTCAGGCACTGGGGACACTGGCATTAGGGGACACTGGGAAGGTAGGAGGACAGCTGGGGGGCATGGGCAATGGGGACAGCCGGGTGACTGAGAACTTGAGGTCCAGAGGGTGATCAGGGTACTGGGAGGCACTGGCCGTGAGGAGCACTGGTGAATGCTGGGCACCAGGGGATGAGGACTCTGCTTGCAGGAGCTGCTGGGGGCGGTCGAAGAGCACAGCTCCAGCCCAGACCATCTCCAAGTTACTGCAGGCCCCAAACTGGTCCCAGTCTCCAGCCATGGCCCCCGAGGGAGGACAGACAGCACAAGGGAACAAGCCCTGCCCTGGTCCATGCCTTGCCACTGTCTGGGGGCACCATGCCCTCCTGGACACCTGGGCCCAGTCCTTCCCTGCAGAGCTGACCCCCACGTGGCGGGTGCCAGTGCCCCATCCCCAGCAAGGCTCCAGCTCCCCTTCCATTCCCACATGGGGCTCAGCCAAGTCTCCCCAAAGGCCTTGTTCCCAGGCAGTGTCCCTGCAATGCCCCTCACCCCAGCAGGGGCTAGCCCTGTCCCTGAGCAGGATGAGGCCATTCAGAGGGGACGCGATGAGGCAGGCACTTGTCCCCGGGCAGCTGCTCAGACCTAATTGCGGGAGCAAATTTTCTCTGGACAGGGAAGAGAGGTTTGACTCCAAAGCATCTCTTATAAGCTGTGTATGCCCAGGGCCCGTGGGACAAGGAGCCCATTCAGGCAGCACGGTCCTTCTGGACAGGGCCTGAGCAGGAGGAGGTTGCAGCAGGACGTGGGGCAGCCTGGGCTCCCTCCAGCATTGGCAGTCAGCAGAGCCCATGGAGGGGGGCAGCCCTGGTATGGTAGAGGAGGAGCACATCCTGGAGCAAGCAGTCAACTGGAAGATTTTCATTTTGGCTGCTTCTGCTTCTTGCACTACTTGCCAGATAGCTGAATTAGCTTATCAGTGTTGCATTATTTATTATATTTAAAAACAAAGTGACATTATTAAAAGTGGTCTTCAGGGAGATCCCATCTGCTGGTTTAATGATATCTAAAAATAAATGTTTGTGGAAGAGGGGAGAGATATGCCACTGTTAAAAAACATAAACATTTCATTTCATGAAATCTTCCAGTTGACTGCCTATTCTTTGGTAAATTTCCAAAGCTAATATTCAACGTGATCTGCAGGGGAGGAAAACAAGATATGGGACATCTGACTTCCCTGTTCTGCATGAGGAGGCAAGCAAGGACTGGAAACCACTCTGTCTCAGGGTCACTGGGGAGCTCTCCTTGATCTGAGGGGAGAGTTGAGCCTGTTGTTCACACTGCCACTGCCTCCCCTGGCCCACACTGCCCAGAGGATGCTGCCCAGGGACCCTAAGACACTGATGTCCAGGATGGGGGACAGGGAAGAAAACCCCCCTGGTAGCCCTTGGAAGATCTGTAGAGCCGGCAGGGCAGAGAGAGGGGAGGCAGTGCCCCACAGGGAGACACCTCTATCGTACTGCTGCTCAATGCCTCTTCCCTGCCAGGACTGCCCTGCCATCAGATTTCTCCAAAGGAAAGTGACCACCCAGCTGTCAGGCTGCTCCCAGAGGACTGCCACTGCCTCTGGGCTCCAGCCTGTCCCCAGGGCAGCGAGGGAACCGCAGCATGCCAGGTGCTCCAGGATGTGCCCCTCCACTACCACACCAGTGTGTCCCTGCACAGCCTCACTACATCCTTATAGTCCTTCCAAAGATAATAAACCCTCTTTTTTCTCCTAAGCTCAAGCCACAGTTCTCTGTTGAGCCAGGCTGGTCTTTTTCCCTGCTGGCTCATCTTTGGGCACGTGGGGACAGACCGTTCCTACACCATTAAGATTTCCCTCTTAAAGAGCGCCCAGCCTTCCTGGACCCCTCTGCCCTTCAGAACCACCTTGCAAGGGACTCCACCAACTAGTGTCCTGAGCAGCTCAAAGTCAGCCCTCCGAAAGTCCAATACAGTGGTTTTACTGGTCCCCTTCCTGGTCTCGCCAAGAATAGTGAACTCCACCATTTCGTGGTCACTCTGCCCAAGACAGCTCCCGACAATCACATCCTCCACCAGTCCTTCTCTGTTTGTGAAGAGAAGGTCTAGCGGGGCACCACCCCTGGTAGGTTCACTAACCAGCTGCGTCAGGAAGCTATCTTCCACACTCTCCAGAAACCTCCTAGACTGCTTTCTCTGGGCTGTGTTGTGCTTCCAGGATATGTCAGGGAAGTTGAAGTCCCCCACGAGAACAAGTGCTGAAGATTTCGCAACTTCTGTCAGTTGCCTGTAGAACTCCTCATCCGTCTCCTCATCCTGGTTCGACGGTCTATAGCAGACCCCGACCAGGACACTAGCCTTGTTGTCCCTGCTGATCCTAACCCAAAGGGACTCGACCTTGTCGTTCCCAGCCTCGAGTTCTACAACCTCGAAAGACTCTCTAATATAGAGAGCCACACCACCACCCCTTCTGTGCTGCCTGTCCCTTCTGAAGAGCTTATAGCCAGGCATTGCAGCACTCCAGTCATGAGACTGGTCCCACCACGTCTCCATGATGGCAACCAAGTTGTAGCCTGCCTGCAGCACGATGGCTTCCTCCTGTTTGTTACCCATGCTGCGTGCATTGGTGTAGATGCACTTAAGCTGGGCCATTACCTTATCCTCCAGCCTTTGCATTGTTCCCCCTGGCACAGCCCCAACAATCCTTGCTTCAGCCCCATCCCCCTTCTTACCTAGTTTAAAGCCCTATCAATGAGCCCCGCCAGCTCCTGGCCAAGGATCCTTTTTCCCCTAAAAGATAGGGACCCGTCTGCGGCCATCAAGCCAGGTGCTGAGTGAAGTGCCCCATGGTCAAAAAACCCAAGATTTCTGCGTTGGCACCAGCCCCGGAGCCACGTGTTTAACAGGTGGGCTTTCCTTGTCCTCTCCGTACCCCTCCCTGTCAACGTAGGGATGGACGAAAATACTACCTGCACTCCTGCTCCGTCCACTAACTGTCCCAGCCCCCTAAAGTCTCTTTTGATAGCCTTCAGGCTTCTCTCTTCAATGTTGTCACTGCCCGCCTGGACTATCAAAAGAGGATAATAATCAAAGGGGCGTACCAGGTTGGGAAGCTTCCTGGCAACGTCCCTGACCCTGGTCCAAGGGAGACAGCAGAGTTCCCTACGCGTAGAGTCAGGCCGACAAATAGGGCCCTCTGTTCCCCTAAGAAGAGAGTCTCCAACAACAATAACCCTCCTGTCTTTCTTGATGGAGGCAGTCCTGAGGCGTGGAGTCGACCTCCTCGCTCTAGGCATCCTCCTGGGAACACTTCCTACCTCTTCTTCAGCTACCGGTCTGTCGAGCTCCAGGGCCTCAAACCTGTTGCGTAAGGGCACCTGGGAAGGTGGGGCCGGAAGGGGAGGGCATCGTCTGCCATGTCGAGCAGGGACCTGTTTCCATTCCTCCTCAACTCCCAGATCCCCTCCCTCTGCCCGACGGCTACAGGGCAGGGGGTCCACCCCCATTTGGGGTGTCTCACCTCGGTACCTCTCCTTGAGGCCCTGCAGGGAGTTACTCCACCAGTCTATCTCCCGCTCACACTCCCTGATATCCCTCAACCTCTCCACCTCCTCCTTGAGCACCGCCACCATGTGGACCAGGTCATCCACCTGTTCGCACCTCACGCACGCAGTTTCTCTGCCTCCCGCCGATGGCAGCAACAGGCTCAGACACTCCCCGCACCCAGTGACCTGAACTGCTGCATTTTTTAACGGGTAGTCGGTCTGGGTGTGTACCGACTTCCTGGAGAGCGCACCGTGCCTGGTGGAGACCATTATCACCTAGCTAACGGCTGTCATTAAGGAGGTGTTCGTATGGGTGGGGGAAACACTCTGCCCTTCCTGCTCGCCCAGCCTGCGCTAACTGCCGCGCTAACTGCCGTGACACGCCCTGTTTGCCCGTCCTGGTCGCTCTCCCTAGGGGCAGTTTTTGAACGGCTGGGGAGGGGGCATTGCTGGCTCCGCCTTTGCCTCGTCAGCCTCCCTCAGGAGGGCTGCCGGGTCCTGGCGGCTCCCTCAAGTAGGCTCGATGCCGGAAAAATTAGCCCTGCCTGGCCCAATCCCCCGCTCCGCTGCAGAATGCGTCTATCCCGGAGCCGATCGCCTCGGCAAATGGCTGCCCTTAGATACATTGGGTAGCGAAAGAAATAGAACAGGAGAGACAGGAAAAGACAAGAGAGAGAGGGAGAGAGAGGAAGAAAGAAATCCACTTTGTGTGGAAGAAACTGCAGAACAAGGGAGCCAAAGAAATTTTCTCTGACTACTACATCCCTTGGATGTCCTTGGCCAGACCTAGCTTTGCTCCTGATCAGAACGTAGATAAGTAAATCCTCCTCCCCCGCTTTTTCCTGGTTGCTCAGCTTTGAGCAAATCAGCCACCAAACCAGCCGAATAAACAGGGAAAGAACATCCCTTTGATGCAGAAGGCTTTTGCTGATGTGAGAATGAGCTCTTGCCTGCACATAGGCAGGCTCAGGTCTGCTTAGTCCTGAGATGTGGCTTTCTTTAAAACTGTAGCCCTTAGGTAGATGAACAGGAAGATCTTCA